ATCACCCTAGTTTAAATCTCTTTAGATAGAGCAAGTGCAGAATCCAGGTCTCCCACTTCTGGCTGAGTGCTCCAGCTTTGCACTCCACCCTTTGGAAAAGCATGAGCCTTGCTCACCAACAAGGAATATTTGTAGATTCCTGCCTAGGTAGATAGGTCCCAAGCAGAGAGGCACCTCCCTTGCAGCTGTCCTTCAAGTGTCTAAAGCCACCCCCTGCCTTGTCTTCATGTTTTTGGTAGCTGACCTCCTCTGCCTGTCTCCAGCCACTCTCAAACTGACTCTTGCTGTTTCCACCCACCTTCATTCTTGGAAATGAATTTCAGATATTTCAGCCTTCTTTGCAAACCAGGTGAGAAGGGGACCTGAAGAGGAGGAGAAATCTCAAGGGCGGCTCAGACACGGTTTGAAGGGACCCTGGGCAGAAGACAGCATGCACAAGGTGGAGCTAGGAACCTGCACTCCAGCAGTTATCATGGCATGAAACTACTTCGGAAATAACACTGAGGTGTCTGTAGAAAAATAGTAACAGTGATCAACTAACTTCCGTGAGATGGTCCCTGAGAAAGAGTTAAAAGTAACTGCAGGACTTCCACAGGACTAAGAAGTTGTAATTTTGATTAAGAGCTGAACGTCACTTAAAGGACTATCACAGACACGTTTCTTATAAAGTACCTCATTGTGTCAATGGCAGAGGTTTCCCTTGACACAGCAAAACAGACATTCCTCCAAGCTGCAGGTACTCCTGTCTTGCCAAGCCACCCACATGCATTGCGACTGGACCAGGAGTGATTTTGATAGAGGACTGTGGTGTGGCAGCAAGGATGCTCCCACCACTGCATTACTGCAGGGAAGCAGAGGACAGCAACCTTAGCTGTTGCCCAGCACTTTAGATGACATCTCATAGCATCTTGTTCCTAGGTGACAGGCTCCACGGTGAAAGACCAACACCTACTCCATGTCTTAGGACAGGGCTGAAGATCAGCTCCAAGAAGGTGTCAGGACAGAGGTGGTGATGGGTGCCCCAGCACCTCTGCTAGGAGAAACGCAGGTGGGCCAGTGGTGTCAGTGATGAAGTTACGTGCTTCGGGCTCCTGCTTGTATTATCTTATGTCTCACTCCTATTTAAGAGATGCCAAACCCGTCCCCACTGAAATACCACCTAACACGCAAATGATTGGGACAATATTTACTAGCTCGGGGACTGCTGAAACAGAGTATACAATTTCTTCCGGAAGTTCAGCACACGCGCTGTACACAACTGTCAAAGAAGATCTGTTATGGGAATGTTTGACTGCTAATAGGCTTATTTTTCAGATGAGCAAAGCATCCTCTGCTTTAAAAAAAAATACTGGGTTAGGCCCCAGTTGTCCTAGTTAATTTGGACAGAAAATAATTTCACTTTTGATGACAGATAAAATTCTGAGTCGATTCCTCAACGTATTGATGTTAATAGCAAACTCTTTTCATCTTGGCCACTTCGTGATGTGCAGCTAATTCCTGACATGCAACTTGCACAATGTACTATTGATTAGCCTGCAGGGAACATTTGACAATAGAGGTTAATTTCTTTTGCATGCTTACGTATTTGCATTCCTTCCCTCCCTATGAAAAATAAAGATCAAGAGAAGTACGTCGGCCTTCAAGAACAAGAAGCGCATTTCACTGTCACGTTAAGACAACTTCTGTTTAGCAGACTACAACTTTGGGTTTCGGTTTGGGCCATTGATTGAAATCCAGTGCAACAAATTCTTACAGCACTAATTGTTAGCACAGGCATAAAACGTTAAGTAAGAAGGATTAAAGGCTGCTCAGGCATACCAGAGCTCTTTCCAACAAGACAAATTACAGCTATTATTTTATATCAATGAACTGTAATAATCTTGAATTCCCTGTACTGGAAGGAAATTTGTGATAATGAACTCTTCTCTTATCTACCTTACCTTCTAGCCTGCGATAATCAGGGTACTTCTTTGGTAGAGAAGGGGACATTCCTCATGTCAGCTTTGCTCATATGAATTTATTTAACAAAATACATTTTAAAAATCAGTCTTCATGTCAGACAATATGTTTATTATGATTAATGCTCAGGTAGAGTTGTTTACCATGGATGTCTAAAACTAACGTGATTTTAAAAATAAAGTTTCCCACAGGAGTTAACACTTGGACTTCAGAAACGGGGAATAAAGTCTGAATGCACCACTCGCCCTTTGCACAGCTGATCTTTGCAGAGCAGAGAAAGTTTTAACTAAAGTAGTTGCTGCCTTTAGTTTCTTGATCATTTTTATTTAAATCTGTTTCACCTCTGGCTTTCTGTGCTAGTCTTTGGTAGAAGGGGACATTCCTCATGTCAGCTTTGCTCATATGAATTTATTTAACAAAATACATTTTAAAAATCAGTCTTCATGTCAGACAATATGTTTATTATGATTAATGCTCAGGTAGAGTTGTTTACCATGGATGTCTAAAACTAACGTGATTTTAAAAATAAAGTTTCCCACAGGAGTTAACACTTGGACTTCAGAAACGGGGAATAAAGTCTGAATGCACCACTCGCCCTTTGCACAGCTGATCTTTGCAGAGCAGAGAAAGTTTTAACTAAAGTAGTTGCTGCCTTTAGTTTCTTGATCATTTTTATTTAAATCTGTTTCACCTCTGGCTTTCTGTGCTAGCACGAAGCTGACTCCTCTGCGACCTCAGACTTGTTCAGTGCTTAAGTCCCACCTGGGTGGGTGCAGCTTGGAGTTTTCATTTGGAACTAGCAGGAGGTGACGCTGGATGAAAGCAAGGGTAATCCTCTCGGCATGCAATTCAGAAGCAATTCTGAGCAGGTCTCAAAAGATGAAATCAGCTGAAGAAATGGATCATCTAGAGGTTGGTCCTGTGCTTAAAAGTCTACCTGCAGTGCCTCTCCCACTTCATCTCTGAAGCAGGCGTGCAGTGCTCAGCGTAGGTCCAGCACAGCGCTGTCGCTGGGCTGTGTGCATGCAGGCTGCGGAGGCAGCCGTGCCCACCCCGGGAGACCCTTGCTTACCAGGCTAAGGTTCTGCTTTTCTGGTAAAAGGGTTACATGGTAGCCTCAGGAGGGGAAAAAATGGCAGAAAACTCCTTTTTGTTTCTGACAGCCACCTGGTCATACATTCCCACCAGCCCCATTTGTCAGTGCACAGCATGAGGGATGGGGGTTACTGGTCCCTGCTTCCTCCAGCGCAGCCCAGGAACTCAGTTCTGCACCACATTGCCCCTAAGCAAGTGCTACAGCTACCCGAAAGGGAGGGGAAGCAGCATCCAAGGTGGCTAGCAGCCTCTTAAGATGTTCCCAAAAAAGCACAACACTTGATCATTATCATAGAATCTGTCAAGTTGGAAGGGACCCATGAGAGTCATCGAGTCCAACTCCCTGCTCCTCGCAGGACTACCTAAAGCTAAACCATACGACTAAAAGCATCGTCCAGACGCTCCTTGAACTCCAACAGGCTTGGTGCTGTGACCACTTCCCTGGGGAGCCTGTTACGGACACTGAGGCAAAATTGCCTTAAGAATTACTGTAGGAAGGAAAAATGTGCGCAGAGATTTATGAGATACTGTGCCCATGCATTTAAATTTGGTTGTTCTAGACTACAGAAGACAGAGGGAGGAGCAGGGGGATATGCTGGCTTTCAGGAACAGTGATAGCCATTTCCTCTGCCAGTGATCATTATCCCATTTTTCCACCCTTGACTACTCTTGATTCATCCCAGGTAGAAAATGATAAAAATGAAACTTCAAGAAGAGGCAGCAAGAACACCCAGAGAGATTTATGTTGGGGTTTCAGTCTCCTAGACAATGCTGCTGAGATCTTCTGACACAAACAGCAAGCCGCTCCTCTGCCTCCTCCAACTGACAAACCTACGATCCAGCTCCTGCCTCTCCCCCCTCTGCATCAATACTGCCCCCGTGCATTTCAACTGTATTTCACAAATCCCTACATACATTCCTCTTCTCCCACATTAGTTTTTGGGGTTGTTTTGTGGGGTGTGGTTTGTTTGGTTTGGTTTTTTTTTTTTTGGGGGGGGGGGGGAAGTGTTTCATCTCTTTCGAACTCACACTTTCACTTCATCACATGCTATACTTGTAGTAGGCAAATGGTAAAGTTTGTTCAGCTTTTAAAAATTAGTAGGTAAGACTAGGCTCCTGAAAGAGCGGGCAATTTGTACATGCAGTAATTGTGCCCCCTCTACAAAGAGGAGCACAAGAATGGTAATGGATTTAAGTACTCATTTCCACTATCACTGACTAATTTAACGGTTTTCTAGGATCTCTGACAGTCAAGACACTCACGCTCTGACAAGCTACCAGTAGGTGAAAAGAGCAGATGGAAGAAAAAAAAAAAATCCATCTTCCAGACTTCTTCAGTTTTAAGGAGACCAGTTGAGCACAAAGCAGGCCAGCACCATCTTACTGAGAATGAATCTGAAGGCAAGCTGTGAATTAACACCACACATGGGATGGTGAAGTTCCTGAGAACGGCAGCGACACTACCTCTTTTAAGGACTAATGCTGCTTTTTGTACATTTTAAAGGGGATGACAAAGTTACTACTAACTAGTGAGATTTTTTTCTTTATCAGTTACTAGAGGGAGGGCCCTAGCTTCCAAAAACCTGCCATTATGCATAACTAGCTCTGACACAAAAATCCCCAAATACTAAACCCTTCCCTGCTAAAAAAAAAAAAAAAAAAAAAAAAAAAGGGGGGGGAAATGGGAAACTATTTAATTCACTTTATCTTTAAATACTATCTAGTAATAGCCTAAATTAGCAGAGTGAAGTAACAAAAGGCATGAATTCAGTCATTTTTAGGGTACCATAGTACATAGGCATAATGTGTGAAAGACTTGCAGCATGAAGCAGCACAGGTGGTGTTGGTTGGGGTTTTTATTATTTTGTGCGGATTTTTTTTTCTTTTTGTTGTTGTTTGTGTTTGTTTTTTTAAACTTCAGTGGCTCCCTTTAGTCTTACAATGGGGGGGTATATCCCACCTTTCTGAAAGACAGTCTACATCAAAGCAAATACCTAGGTAGCTACAGACAGCGTGAAACACTAATTCAGCATTGCATTTGTTGTTCATATTTTTCCAATTTATTTTGCCATTTTTAAAATGTCACATATCGTTTTAAGAGGTGAAAGAATATTGGTAAGAAGTTGAAACCTTACCCTTGATTAAACCACAGCCAAAGGAATAATCTTTACCTGAACAGCATTATGTATGTTGAAAGTGCCAGCCAGCAAGTGGCCTTGCTTTATATAGGTATATTCCTTCCAAACAAAAAGTTCCGTGTTGTCAAACTGATTTACAAGCAACACAAAAGTATTGCTCATCCACAATTTCAATGCAACTGCTTACAAACAAGAGTCAGAAAACATCCTGTGTCAGCACACCACAGAAGACAGTGTGGCTAAAATAAGAGAAGCCAGACAAGCAGCGAGATACATAAATCAGTAGGCAGAACATACATGCTCAAACTGGAACTTACCACAACATGGAAAAACCATCCTTTGCTTACAGCCTTGCCCATGAAAGTCAAAAAGCAAGTATGCAGCATCCATGTTCTCTCTCCTTAACGTCAGCTTACAAATACTGCAAAGCGACTATGATCTTACACGTCTTCCAAGGTAACTTGTTATCTTTCTGAAAGGCTAATGTGTTTTTTATGGATCTAAAGATAGATTTGTGGCTGTCAAACAATCCATCTGGTTTCTAAAAGTGAACAAACATTGTTCTTTAGTTCACTGTGTTTTCTATTAATAGCAAAATAAAATATTTGGCTTTGAACTAGACCCACATGCAGTCAAGCATGGACAAGTAGACAACATTTGCAACGTTACTGGCATCATGACACAACATTCTGTGCACGACTTTGGGCATCAGAGTTAGAACATCATGTCATCTAGTCCATCCTCCATAAACTTCTTGTAAATTGCCATAAACTTTGCTACAAATGCTTCCAGATGATAAATGGCTTTGCTGCCCAGTTGCAGGCGGTGTTCATAGAAGGCCTCCATCTGTGCACCTTCTCCTTTCAGTTGTCCATCACAGTTATTTAGAAGTTCTGTAAGGAGGCCCTAAAAGGGGAAAAAACAGGACAGTATTTGAAAAATTATATATTTTTTGTTAAAAGGATAACCTCATTTCTCTGAAAATAGCCAAGCTATGACTAATAGTTCACTCATGAATCCAACAGAAAAGACATTAAAGAATCATTACACCACCTATTTGACAGAACCAGATTCACGGAACCATGTCTTTTAAGAACGTTCTTTCAAGATAAATTCCTCATGTCAAAATAGATGTTACCTGTTGTGTTCTTAGATGGAAAAAATCATGTATTGGAACTACTTATACCTTAATAAAGGAAATAAATTAACCTCATCTCCAAATACTGTAACCTCTACTGCATGCAGGCACATGGCCCTGGGGAGAATTTTTACCAAGATAGCAAGTGTATTAATCACTTGCTTCCTATCTCAACAGCATCGAGCACAAAGAGAAACAACATTAATAAATAATAAGGAAAGGGCTTATTTAAAATTTAAGTATATCTGTTTATATCTGTGTAGATGAGGCACTTAGGGACATGGTTTAGTGGACATGGTGGTGTTGCATTGACGGTTGGACTCGATGATCTTAGAGGTCTTTTCCAACCTTAATGATTCTATGATTCATTTATGTATATACGTATGTGTAGACACACACAAGATACTTTATAACAATACTTCAGTCATTACAAAAACAAAAAATGCATTATTTTAGATCCAAGACAGCAATAAAACCATTGCAAATCCATCTCTATTAAAACGGTCAGGATTAAGTGAGAAGTATCTCTAGACAATTTCAAGTCTATGAAGAGGGAGCGGGTAGAGAATATCCGCCTTTAGCCTGACAACAACAGTCCTCAAACAGGGCAATGCAGGATCCACTAACCTACCATAAGAAAGGAAGGTTAAAGAAACATCTAACTACCAAAACTGTCAGAAAACAGAAATCAGTTAATGTGAAAAGAAATTTATTATCTTGTAATTATGTCTGATGGCAAAGTCCACCTAGGGTAAGTTGCAAACATTAGCTTTATTCTTTGTTCTGCTCTAGTTGTCTTCAGCATGCTTTCATCCTGCCTAAAATAAAAACATGCACGTCCCATTTGCCTTCCCCCCCCCCCAAGATGACTTCTGTCTTTGAAGAGACCTGCTGGTCTAGCATCCTTCAGCAAACCTCTCCACTAGGACATAGCAAATATTGAACTCATAACAAAACTTTAACAAATGAAAACAAACCATATCAAAATTAGCCCATAAAATATATCTATGCTTCAATACAGAAACTGGCCTGAGAAGTCTTCAGGGGGACAAAGCATGTCCTCCTTTGGTTTTACTCAGCTAGGATGCTGCTGTTCTGTGATCACAGAACAAGTTTTAGTAAACCATTCAACAGAGGTGTGAACAAGGAACCCTGCAATAAAAATAAACTAGACATTTACATTTTCCAAATTAGAGAACAGAATCTTCCTGCCCCCAAAATCTACACAACTCAAAACCATCATGCCTAAATATATTTAGGCGTGAACCTAACTAGACAGTCTAGTATTATCGACTGAGGATCATGAGAAGTGAATGCTACGTATCAGTGTTTGCAGGAACAAGGTCTTTAATTACTGCTTCAGAGCGATAACCTGGACTATTTTGGTTACTCCAGTGGAAAGAAACACAAGAGAAAATATCTTTTGATCACTCATGTCTATTTGGAAAGGATACAGCTTTTCATCAATATTTGGATACTTTGTGATGTTTTAGGGTGGGGTTTTTTTAAACTCAAATTGAGACTGTCGTAGTGTTAATATTTATAACATATTAAGAGCTAGACAGCTGAATTACCTTCATTATAATCTCAGGAGGAATGCAGTGTGTCAGGAGTTCATAAAGCCGTCCACGGACCTCTAAAAGCCTGTTGGAAAGGCACCATAAAACATAGGAAGTATGTCCCCAAAGCATACTAATGTGTTTTCACTATTTGTGAAACATGCTGCAGGAAAAAAGAGTCAACCCAAGCAAAGGTGGGGGTTTTTTTTCCCCCCTGTTTTTGGGTTTGTGTGTTATTTTAAACCCAAAACCATTGCTTAAGATTAGTGAGAAGACACCACAAAATTGATTACAGCCACAAGATTCGTTTACGCTGTTTTTCTGTCTTCATTGTTTACAAGAGGAAGTAAGATGATTAGGTGGCAGAAAGTGACACAGTTATCAGTTCTCAACTTTTGACATCCGGACGTCAGAGGCTACAAGCATTTAAATTAAATACAAGAATTTAAGTGACATCTCATGTAATATATGGAACAGACTAAAAGGATCAGGCTGCGTATGACACCAAAATGGATTAAGGGGGCATAAAAAGCAATGATTTCTCATTTCCAGTTCTTTTACAAAGGTGCATTATGGTAAAGATGGTGAAACAGAAGCCTTAAATAAAACAAACAAACAAAACCACACAAAAATACCCCAACACCACACCACCCCCGCAAAAAAAAGACAGACAGCACAACATGCAACTAAGCTTATGGTCACTTTTGATTACAAAGCTTCAACAGAGAAAACCAACGATTGTTTCAGTTCCTGAAGCTCATTCAGCCTCCTCTGGTAATTTTAAAGCTCACTTCCTCTGGTTGCAAAGCTCCAGTAGTAATGCCAGAAAATTACATATAACTAAAGTAAAGATGCCACATTTTTAAATATAAGATTTTTTTTTAGGCTCCAGAGTACACCAAAAACATAATTTATAGCTGCAAGCAAGTGTATTCACCTACCTTTGTGGTGTCTGTTGACCAACAATAGCATTTGCAGTTTCTCTCAGATAAACTTCCCAGTCCATCTCAGGAATGTCTTGATCAGCAGTAAAAGGATACCTACACAATAATAATATTTTTTAAAAATTAAGATCAAAGCAAACTGTCGCCTATTCTATCAAGGCGTCAGAAGTAAGTTCATTTATGTGTCTGAGAGTATAATTTACATTAATTTTTAGCAGTGACTTACTGTTGTACTCTGCAGGACTCACACATAAGTAATGCTTTCCGAAGATTCCTGCCAGATTTCTCTGCAAGCCTTTGAGCCAGTTCCTGAGGAAGAGTCAGGCCTTCTTTCTTACACACACTGGACAAGACATGGCAGATCTAGACAGGAAACAGATACCAGGGAGTGCAACACTTAGCAAACAGTTTAGCACCTACAGATTCTCCTGTTTGAAACATTTCTGGACCAGACATGGATCAGTCTTTCATAAGACATGCTTGACAAGTCACCCACCACAAAGAAAAACTAAGTCACTTTGTGGAAGTAAAATATTTCTTAAGTCCACAGCAAGAACGTATCTAGTAAGAAGTTTTAAATAATTTATTTTTGCTTCTCTTTCAACATACATCTTCAATGCTGGGAGCAGGCACTCGTACAGCCAGGCATCTGCTTTGAATAGGTCCTATAATTTTTGACATGGAGTTGCAGCACAGAATCAACCTGCAGGTCGCCATGTACTTCTCCATTGTTCTTCGCAAAGCATGCTGAGCATCTTTAGTGAGTTTGTCGACTTCTGTTAACAGCACCACTGAAAAAGGATTAAAAAATAGTGCATTTTTTTATTAATATCAAATCTTTCTAAGAAAATGACTACTTTGACATACAAACGATACGTGATACAAGCAGAAAAAGTCAGCATGGTTCCACAGGCAGGAAAATAAAGACTAAGACAACCTGTGTGCCTTTTTGACTGTATAATCTCCTGCTTCTTCACACCCTATATTCATGTCCTGGAACGTCAATTTCTTCAGAGCAGAGCCTGCAACACCTCAGTGCCAAGAAATAATCCAGGTAGGCGTAGAAGCTTTCACTTTGATAATTAGTACAGTAACTTTTTAAAGGAATTTTAAGTAAGAAATGCAAAAGAATTTATGGCATAAAGACATATCAAAAAGCAAAAATTTCCTGAAGACTCCCCTCAATACATTTAATATTTAAAAGCCAATGTCTTAGCTTAACAAAGGAGTAGTAGAAAGCTGCCTTGTTACTGTAGCTGCAGCGCCTTTCCGTGGTCTTTTGAAGAAAAGAAAACAAACAAACAAAAAAGAAAAATGTATTTCAAAAATGCTTCAGAACAACCACGAGATACCTAATATGAAGCAGCTAACCTGACCATCTACCCTCTGCAGGTTCCTCCATAGGCAACTCATAGATGGCTCATTTCAGTACTCTGAATGGTCCAGTGAGAACAGCCTGGAGGAACAAGTCAGCCCATTACTCTTCTCCCATTTCTCTTCTGGTTATATATGCAGCTTAAGCAGACCAGCCAGCTTACCAGACACTTTGAGGTGTATGGTATGACTGCAGCTGTGAGGATATATACACCAATAACTGCTAGAGCCAATATAGTATTTCCTGAGAACAGTGAGGAAAACAAGACAAAGTACTAAATCCATGACCATTTTCAACTAATTTCTGCTCTACTCTATCTGTCAAGATTTCCTCTCTCCTTCAATTTCTTGTTATATAGTTCTGATTTTGCTTTCAGTTTAGTCATGGGGAGAAAAAATAAGCCAGTTGTAGCAACATGTGTCTTGGAAAACTCAATGAAAGCCTTCTTCATTTTCGTACCCAGTGTCCTTCCGTACATTATGGACAAAATGCTTCTAAACTTTCTGCCTAAGACAGCTCATCCCCCAGAACACTAAAAATAAGCAGCTAACACTTAACTTACACAGCACTGTTTGCCATAAGGTTATCCTGCCCTTCAACTCAATATTAAGCCTCAGTGGCTCATAACTCAGCTACTACTGTAGATCATTAAACTAAGTTACAGTGCATTTCAATGGCAGGCTTGGGAAAAAGACAGCAGGGATCTCAGCTCCCTCTGCCCAGCCGTTCATTCAACTACACCCTGTCCTCCTAAGAAACCAAGACAAAAGAACTTCATACTGAACATTTAACCACTCAAGATATTTCCACAGTGAAAGAAAAATGGGAGGTTGTTTAATTTGGGAAAGGTTCATGTATGTCCTCATGTAATATACAGGTACAAACAAAACAGCTGAAATCTGCTAAAAACAAGTTTAAAAAGTACTTTGACTGGTTTTAACTTTTTTTACTCACCTTTAAAATCTCGTTGAGTACTTGTCTCAAGCTGTTGGGATTGTGCTACTGTCTTCAAGAGTTCCTGAATTACTACACGGTCATTGTTTCCTGCATCACTGTACCAGGAGTTTGAATAAAACTTGTTTTAAAATAACTTTATTCTGCATATAAAATACATCCTCCTAAGCAGCCCCTTGGTCAACTGACTAAACAAGAATGCCAAAAGAATTCAGAAGCTGTTGAGGTTAGAATTAAGCTCAAAACACACATACTTTGTTGAAACATTACCTTCCCAATAAAAAAAAACCAACCCAAAGCTTACGCAGGCACAGCTGGATTAGTAGCACTATATTGGGCAGTAGTGAAACCATTGTCAAATGTTTTATTAACTCTTTAAAATAGAACTTATTTTTATGGTATGAGAAATCTAAACTTTTGTTACTTGCAATTTGGGCAAAGACAGGTAATATGAACATTTTTACCCATTATGGGAAGAAAAATTAAGTCTAATCACATAATAGGATGCCTGACTGAAAAGGACTGATGTAAATACATAGGTTTTTTTCCCCTGAAAATTAGATGTCATGCTATGAACAACCTATACGCTTAATGTAAACTTGAATGGCAGACAGTGAAGTTAGAGTTATTAGTAAAAGATTGATACTCAGATACTACTACAGCACAGACGGTTAACTTTTTCCCTCTTAGAAGGCAGGAAAACATGGGGAAACACTAGATATCCTTCCTGCCTCTTCTGCTTACTATCCCCTAGAGTAGCATGCACAGCTTTCTCAGTCCCCAGGTTAGTAGCTCAGCTAGCTTGACTCAGATTTGACAACCACTGGGGACTGACTTGCAAGCTAGATTACTGAAAAAGCAAAGAAAAAGAAGGGAAAAACCCAGACTCTTACAGATCCCCACACTATTGCCTCCACAGAGGCAGCAGTAGCTCTGCAATATTTCACTGGCAAGCAAATGAAAAAGGCATTTGTCCATCCTGTTCTAGTCACCACTCAACCAGACCTTCGCCATTCTTGCCAAGAAGGCGGCAGCAGAATGTACAGAAGCATATTAGCTCAACAGCTCACAATCTGCTGAATAGGCTACACTGACTTTGACTGCAGAGATCTGTCCTTCAGCAAGGGAGCAGACCTGTGATTACAGCGCAAAAACCAAAAAGCAAAATGAAACAAGCCAGTTCTACTTATGAACTAGGCTGGTTTTGGGAAATGGAAAGTGATTAAAGCAGTTTTCTAACATTTAAAGATAAATTAATTCTCTGCAGTAACGGAGAACCTAGAATTATAATTTCATGGTGAAAGATTATCCTTGGTGTTATGTAACCACACCAAACATTCCAGGAAAACAATGAACAAAGGCAGCTACCACACAAACATTTAATTTTTGTTGTTTCTTATTCTTTCATTACCCACTTACTTACTCAGAAGAACCCATTTTAAAGCATCTACCCAAGCTAGTCAAGTGACCAGCAGGCAATGTTTTGGAATTCAGGCAATATCCTCCTTTTGGAGGAAAAAGAACAGCTCTATCTAATAAAGTTCCATAATAAATTCAATGTCTGCAGAGTCCTTCCCAGAAGTTAATTTCCTTTCTCTGTTAGCCATTTCTCATGTGCCATGTTACCCAAGATGCACAACATGATTTCACAGTACTATAATTCAATCAAACTTCACAGACTATAGCACAACACACGCAGGTTCACTGTCTTGTCAGACATAAACACGACAATCGCTTGATCACTTAAAGCCTATGAATCAATATATTAATTCTTAATCAAAACTCAGCACTACTATTATATACAATAACCAATACAGCAGTTCTACACTTTCAGGATTTTTATATTTAAAGTAAAATACAATTATTTTATATGTTTCAAGCTAGAAGTACTCTATGGAGAGTAATAGAAGAAGTATTAGTAGTATTAGGTTATCAGAGCAGAAGACTGAATCGTCAGACATTTCATATCAGCAAAATGACATATTCAAACAGTTAATTACCAATAAAAGTCTCGGCTTTAATTATTTGGGTCTGTATTAGAATACCAGCAGATATTCACTAACCAATACACAGAGATTAGCTGCAGAACAAGCTTTTAAAGGAGACACGGTACATGAGAATAGCTTCTAAAATGCAGAGCAACATGAGAAAAGGTTTAGCAATAAGCACAAAGCTAAAAGTTACTTCAGGATACAAATTGCCTTGTAATTGTAACCCAGACAACAAAGCCAACATAACCAAAGCCTCCCAGTGCACAATGACATTTACTCTCATGTGATTTGAAGCAACATTAAAGGGTTTCAGGTAAATACAAGTATTTACTTTGGGTCAGTGAACTACCGCCAGCAATTTCACAACTGTCAAAGAAGACATACAGTACACCATTATAGCTTCTGTTGTTTAAATCAACATCTGACCTCGCTCATGACAAGATTCCCAGTATTTTGTGGTGGTGTTCTTTCCCGAGCTCTAAACTCTTTATTTTAAGAGTTACTGGGTAAGCCTCGCTTACTTTCAAATCACTTTATTTTTGTATTTGTGAGAGAACTAACAATATGGGGGTGTTGGTTCCAATAAGAGTTCTCAGTTTCAACTTATATGGTTAAATCTATGAATCCAGAATTTTTTCTGTTACCCAGTCCTCAACGTCAGCATGCTTATATGGCTAGTTAATCAGAACATTACTGTCTTTAGTATACAGCAATCCAAATTTTTGTTCATTTAGAGCTGTTCAATTAAAAATCCTCTCCCTGCTCCCATTTGCAGTCCAAACCCATAAACTATTATCCAGTTTGCTCAGGCAATAAATTGGGCAATCAGGCCCTTACATACCACCCTTATATACCCAGGTTGAAACCACTTGCAATATGACCAGCGGCTTATATTTGAAGTGGGACATTTTTACTGTACACTTACCTTGGGTTAACTTCAAGGTGATAATTACTTGCAATGGTGCTAATCTCAATTTTCTTTTTAGAAGGTGCCTATGTAGAAAGTAAGCATATTAAATTTCAGAAAGAGTGTTCTAAAAATCTGATGCAAAAATTTATCTTACAGATTACAACTGGCTAGGTCACAGGCAAACCAAAAGTCTCAGCGATCAAAGAACTGCTGAGACACTAGACTTATGCATCTCCTATTCCCCAACACCACCTCCAAGTGAGGAGTGCTGACACATCATCCAGCCTGTAAAATAATAACAGTAATGATTATTATAGCAACACATAGTACATATTACTGAATACTCCAGTTACTCAGTTTTGTAACGAGAAATCTTATTATTGGAATCAGCCATTCAAAATAAGGCATACTCTGTCCCTCCAAAGAAAAGTTTTGGAGGGAAAACCTCTGGACAAGCCTGAAGAGGTTGTTTACTTCTCTTGGCAAAGGATTTCAAGTCTATACTTTGTTTAAAGAAAATACTAGTATTTATATCACCACTGAATTTGGGTCTGAACAGTTAAATATATTCTTTATTTCTATCATCCAGTCCAATTATTATATTTGTTCCACTACTGAGAATTAAAAAGCAAGCATTAAATAACCTACTTATCAATAAAGCTTGATAACCCCTTGCTGGTTAAGCCTTCCATAACAAGGATTTTGAATGGATACTGTAACCTTTTAATAATAAACAAATGCCTAAGACCAAGGCAGACAGAATTTAAATTGATTTTTTATTTTTTGCTAATGCTGAAATTGTCACTATGGGAATGAGAAAGCAAGTTAAAACTTGCATATATGCAAAAAGCAGTGCTAATAATTTTTAAAATAAGGGTTATTTTTACAGACAAATGAAATTCTATACATATAATTGAGAGCTAGTCTATTACAACACATGCTATTGTCCAAAAAGACCTGTAAAATAAAAAAAAAAATTAAAAAAAAGCAATCAACTAGCCACAGAAAACAAAAAAAAACCTCCACATCCTCCCACCCATGAAGACCTAAGGAACAAGAACATCTGGCAAAAGTATTTGTTCATGTAACCAAACTAGTCTGATTAATTACATAAAAGAGCTTGAAGACACTGAGTGCAAAAAAAGTTATTTTTAAAACTCCAATAAATATAAAGGCCTCACAACAGAAATATGTCAGTATATAAATATCCACATTACTTCACAGCACATGGGAGATTTATTTTTTTTTTTACCGTTATACTCTGATGCTCAATCCTCAGTTTTTCCACTCCTGCACCATATAATTCCCTTAACAAACACATTATTCTTGTCTTTTTTCCAGCTCCTGATGGTCCATACACCAACAGATGAGGGAAGTCACCACACTGAACCTGAACACAAAGCAACACAATTAGTTAGGTACAACAATATTTTCTTTATAAGACAGTATTCATCCTTCCATTCTCACTCAAGTTTACATGGAATGACTTTTTCAGCTCAGTCACGGCATAGTTCCTAGAATTCCTTTCCCACAGCAATATTTCCTACAGAACATCATATTTTTCCTGAAGACCGTGTGCAACTCATTTAACTCCAAAACACCTCACCCCTCAAAAAAACCCAAAAAACCCAACCAAAACAGAACCCAAAACCCCACCCCAGCATTTACATGCTTTCCAGGGCTTCTAGAGTGACAGCTGCAATAAACATACACTAAAAAGGATTAAAACAAAGTTTAAAGCACATATACTCACATAGAATTACATATAGATATGCATATATATAATTACTTTGTTGTTTCATTTGCAAGCCTTGAATCTGGGCACACGAGTAATAGATAGCCTGTATTTAAACGAAGTTAGGAGTTTACTTCTTGCAAAGCTAAAAAGCATGACCTGGAGAACATCCGACCAAACCCCACAGTCAGAATTTGCATTAGTTAGATGCAACAGTCATAGAGAAACACTGGGAGAGTGAATCAGTCCAGCGGTCTAGTGAAGGGAAGTCAGCACATCTGGCAGGGGAAGCAGTCCTTTAACATCCAAGCAATTACATAGTCCTGACTTTTATTCCCAGCTGCTCACCTTAAAAGCTTCAGCTAACTAAGTAAACAAGGTAAGCCCTATTCTCAGAGATACTGATCATTCCCAGCCAAAACCAGCAGGAAAAAGCCAAGCCACCTATTTCCCCGCAGCCTTTTCCTTCCCGTAAAGGCCATGCTCCCGAGCGGGACGCGATGCCAGCGGACCACTGTCCCACCGGCGGCGCCCGGCAGGGAAGCTCCTCCGAAGGCGAGGGCCTGCACCGAGGGAAAGCTCCCAACCCCCGCCCTGCAGACGCAGCTTATGGGCCGCGCAATCCCGACTCCTGGAGGATCCCCGCTGCGGGGAGGAGAGGGACCCGGTGGCCGGCTCGCCTCGGGCGGCCCCCGCCGCCGC